TATATATATATATATATATATATATTCTTACCGGAGATCGGTCGTAGGGGACGATCTGTTGGGTAAGATCGGTGAGCCTCCTTCGCTGGTACGCTTGCTGCTCCAAGATGGGGGTGGTAGCTGCAAAAGAGACTTTGATGCTAAAGTTAGGGTTTGTGGGAATATTAGTCTCGTATAAATAATGCACGTACCTTAGTATGAATTAGGGTTTTACTAGGCTTTGGGCCCGAGCCCCGTTATGACCTATTTGGGTGACGAGCTGACGTCACACAGCGCGTGTCCGAGGTCGTCCTGCGTTGTGATGCCAAGCTCGGAGTTCGGCTTCGCAGTACGGATAGTACACTATCCATGTTTACTTATGTATGAACATGTAAGTCTCATTGGCAAAACCATCCATCGATCACTTTGCATATGAATTATTTAATCTCTTTCAGAGCTGGGTTGAATTTATTTGATGCAATCAGCCTTTCTTTACAACACTGCTTTGTCTACCTTAAATAGAACCGCTTCATCATCACCATGATGTGGATGAACGGTTGCATCTGATTCTATTTTATTCATCAATTCAAGAACAGGCTTTTGATCATAATCATAATCAACAACAGGATCTTGGTTGATGTCATCTTCTAACGATAAGGGCAACAGAGATATCGAGTTCTGAACTGCCCACAAGTTTATGTCTTTCTGTAAGGAAGGATTGTAATTAACATATTGTTGTTGTTTGAATTGTTGTTGCTGCTGCTGTTGTTCGAATTGTTGTTGTTGTTGTTGGTATTGTTGATGTTGTTCTTGAGACATTTGTTGAAGGAAAGGCTGAGAAGAAGTGACATTGGAGATGTCATTATTTTGATGTGCCTGTGCCCTAAAGAAAGCGAGATGCTGAAGAACAAGGTGAAGCTCGGCATTGGCGTATTCAATCTGAGACTGCAAGTGCTGAATGAGCTTGTAGCAGCCACCAACAGGGTCTCGAGCACGCATGTCGGATTGGTACATGATGGTGCTCATGGCGATGTCACGCTCGTTGGGATCGAGGGGCTTAAGCAAGTTAGTTATCTTGCCAACGCCGAATAAGCGACGTGCATTTAGGAAGTGCTTTTGGCGATCATGAGGAAAATAAGGTGCGAGAATGTAGTTGGAACACTCTTCCTCCTTAACCCACTGAGGCGCTTTTTCAAGGACAAAACCGTGACGGCCCAACGAGCGCCAAAGCGGACAATACCTCGGATGCGGTGACCCTAACGATGACAGCAGACTTACGGTAGGAATATTGGCGCTAGAAGGAGG